CGTTCTGCTGTGCATGGGGTCCGTTCTGCTGTGCATGGGGTCGCTATGAGTCGGTTCCGACTCGATGGCACCTGATGACAACAACAACAACAACAATTCTCTAATAAACCACATAATCATGTGTATTGTCTGTGAGTTCTAGGTGGCCACGGCAACAAATTGTAGGCAGTGGTAGAGAAGTAGAGTGCTGTGGGAAGGACAATTGGTGTCAGAATTGGTAAAGAAGGGTGGAGTGTGGAGGCAAGTGTGACCTCTGCTTCATAGGAATTGGCTTTTGATGATGTTGAGTTTGATTCTCCTCTAACTCTGTGACGTCAAAGGAGGTCAGACGCTGCCCCCATGCTATTTTTACAGTAAAGCTGCAGTTTGCCAGAAAACAGTAACACCAATAGTACTACCCAGTTACCAATGCTAGAGATATCAAAAAGAGGCACAGTAATTCGTGAAAGAGCAGCAACAAAAAAAAAAGTAGTTACTGCCCCCACTTATGACATTAGAATTTTAATAAGTCAACTTAAACTGTTCTCTCTTTCTTTCTTTCAGTATGTCTATCAGTAATGTGTAGTCTTGGTGTGGGGCACTGTGGGCTAATCCCTCAAACTGCAAAGTCATTTGAATTGCAAGGTTCAAGCTAACCAGCTGCTCCTCGGAAACCCTATACAGGGTGGCTATGGGTCGGAATCAACTCAATGGCACTTAACAACAACAACATCAGTACTGTAGCATAGCAACAACTGTGAGGTTGGCCCAGGACCAGGCAGTGTTTTGTTCTGTTGTACATAGGGTCACTATGAGTCAGTACTGACTCGATGGCACCTAATAACAACAAATCAGTAATGGCACTGCAGGATAAGCATTGGACTGCTAACTGCAAGGTTGGCAGTTCAAACCTACCAGCCACGAGTTGGAAACTCTATACAGGGTAGCTATGAGTCAGAACTGACTCTAAAGCACGTAACAACAACAACATCATTAGTAATGGCCTGGTGCTTTAGAATAAGCACTGGACTGTTGCTTCAATGTCAGTGGTCCAAACCCACCAGTCACTCTTGGAAACCTATACAGGGTAGATATGAGTTGTAATTGACTCAACAGCACATGACAATATGTAATCATTAGTAATATGTACCACATAAGATGTTGGAGAGTATAATTTGCTGATGTTACCATTCTCATACTAACCCCAAAGATCTATAAAAATTGGGTGCATAAAGACAATAATAAAAGTAAATAAATCAATAAAAAAGTAAATAATAATGAAAAATAGGTATTGAACTTACATCACACTATGACAACAGCATTGTTAACATAGAACTCTGTCCTAAATTGAGCACTACATGTGCTATTAGTTTTTATAAATTTTCCCATTATATGTTCACCTTTGTCATCCCTGCATTATATGATACAGTACTGTACATCAGCTAAAAAACAAAAAATCAAGAACTAGGAAACATAACATAATTCACCTGACAAAAAAAATACACACCATAGCAGATATAAATATAGTCCCCTACTTTATGTGATCAATCTAATGTCCTTTTGCAGTGCAGTGAATTACTTCATATGGCTTTTCTACCCATAGTCTTTGTAACTCCCACCAAATGACTTTTTTCCCTGGTGGGTCTGGGTAACAGAAAGTGGGAAAATATGTTAATAGGATTATAATTATATCACTACCATCAAAGAAAAAAAACCAGGAGTAGACCATGCTCTTTGGGCCCTGTGATTTCTGTGCATTGAACCTCCTTAACCCAAGAACAGAAAGTTCTGACACAGAGGAACACCAGCAGCAGAATCAAGAGAGTATGAGACAGAACCATGCGCTTCCCAATCCCCAGAGCAAGTAAAGCTGAGTCAGCCTTTGAGCAGGAGGCTCACATGTGCAGTAGGGTGCCTCCAGGCACTAAGTGTGGGAACTAGGTTTGCTAACTCACAGAGCTCAAGCCAAGTGCCTTCAATCTGAGGAGTTATGTGCCCTGTGAGCATTTAGGCCAAGGGCCTAGGGCCAGACAGAGGCCTGCCAGTGGGCATGGCAGAAGAGAGGTTGTCTTGACTGAAAGAACTGTACCCTAAATATTTCTGACCCTAAACTGTAACTGTGAGTATGGTGTCTTAGTTCTGTATGGCCACTAGAATGAATTATCAGACCCAGTTGAGAAGTAGAGAATGCTGTGGTAGAGATAATGAGTGCCATTTCTGGCACCCTTTAATCTCTAAGAGAAGATCATTAAACATAAAGTGGAGAAAGAGAATTACAGTGCCAGTTAAATAAAATATACACAAAACAAACTAAAAAGCACACCTATCATTTGATATGTACTAATAAATAAATTCAACCTCAACCATGTTAAAAGTAAAAAGGAAAGCTGGACCTCGTATTAGGAGACTTAACTTGTTGTTGTTATGTATCGTGGAGTCAGTTCCGACTCACAGCGACCCTGTACAGGGTTTCCGAGGCTGGAAATCTTTACGGGAGCAGAAAGCCTCATCTTTCTCCCGCGGAACAGCTGATAGTTTCGAACTGCTGACCTTGCGGCTCACAGCCCAATTCGTAACCACTACGCTACCAGAGCTCCTAGGAGTCTTAACTACTCCTTTACAATTATAAAAAGGCTTTCAGCTTCATGCATGTTTTACTGTTTCTCAAGGATGTTGGTGTTAATTAACAATGCTCAGAAAATTATATATATTCAAGTCAGTTAAATATTCATTAATATCCTGTAAATAACATTCATAAAGTAAAACCCTTCATAAAAACATGCTTACATACCTGTAATATGTGAAGCTTATAAGTTGTCAATAAACACCCTAAAATATCAGATCAAAGAGTGGTCTAAATAAAATGCTCCTCATTAATTCACAAAGCACAAAATGAAAGCTATAAAAATAACATATAAATGGGCTGAAACTTTTGAACAAATTGTATTTGGTACATCAAAGTTTTAACTGAATTAGAAGAGCTCAAACAGATTAATTTTCCTAGTAGGTCTTGGATGGCAACATGATATTAATATATTTACATCATAAAAAATGTATGGAGTCAAATACTGACATAAGCCTATAAATTACCATGTGTAATCTGCATACACAAAGTATTTAAGAGCATTAAGTAAACTTTTATTATAAAATTTTAATTATAAAGAACTACTTGTTTTATCAGAGTTCTCAAGTAGGTAAGTAGTAGTATTGATTCATGGGGTAATTGAGATTTTATCCTTATTCTGAAATAAAAATAATTCAAACAAATACAAATATAAATAAAGGAAAATTCAAAAGACTTGTTTCTCTAAACATTATTTACGGAAAAATATAAACATTCCTAATATTTTGTAAACCATCCCTTAACCTCTGACAGGACTTGCCACAACCAAATGCAGTAAAGTCATCACAATGAGTTTTATCAACATTTTGTTATGTGAAATACATCTTTTTACCTACCTTGAATGTTTACAAAGTTTACGAGGTCTACTATGCAATTTCCGATCCCAATTCTCTGGATCACTGGAGTTACTGTCATAAGGATGAGGCCGTCCTGCCATCCCACTTGAGGCTTCCTCACACTACTGCTTTGAAAGCACACATGTAGCACCCACAACCTACATAAAAGAGTAGTATTGACCTTTAAGTCTAGTCCAAGCAGAAAAAAATAGTCACAGAATTTTATATTTTTTCTGATACTGTTGTGACATATTTTTTTAAGTGGTGAACAGATTATAAAATATTACACATACAAATGTCACAAATTGGATGAAAATAAATACAGGTAGTCCTCAACTTACGACATATTTAGGTTATGATGACACACATTTAGGACTATCTGTTTGGTTTGGGATTTTTTATATCTTATTGTCAGTAATATGTACTACATGCCACGTTGCAGCACATAATTTGCTGCTGTTATCATTCTCAGATATTCATTCACAGATGTTCAATGTTATGATTTATAAATACTAATAATAATTTTTTAAATGAGGTATCTTATTTATGTCAGAACTGACATATGACAGAGTGATTAGAAGAGAACCCTGTTGTAAGTCAGGGACTACTTGTACCAGTCGTCTTTTTGGGTACTTCTCATTTGGTTCTTCTATTAAAATTTCCACCTCTGGGTAACAGTTTAATGCTGGACTCTTTACATTTAGTAAGTATACTTAAAACAACTGCCATCAAGGTATGTTTCCAACAACAATATAGCACCAAAAAGGCAAAAACATTACAATCATTCCAAATTTTATTTGAAATAATTCCTTAATTATAAAAAGAAAAGTTTAAGCTGCTTAGAAAATAATCTAGTCTAGTAAGACCAAATTAACATTGTCACTACTCTAACCAAGTTAAACACCCTGAATAGAAATTTAATATATTTGCTTAAAAATAAGGAAATACAGTTTCTTCCTTATGGTGCAATTACTACAAAATATCTTATCAGTATGATTCATAAACTTGAGGTCTTTTCATATATGAGGTTTGTGACTGTTATTTCTACTACAGTCATGAAATTACAAGAATACCTGAGCTAAGTGCTTTAATGTATATTCACTATCCAATTATTCTTCATAATCTTCCTACGAGATGGCCATTAAACTCTAAACTCCCATAAATTAAACAAAAAACAATCTCGATTTCAGTAACTGCCAAAGGTCTACAGATTAAAGTCTCAATTTTGGAAAATGCTCAAACTTGACTATTTTGTATAGAAACAGTAGTTCAGATTTAATTAAAAGAAAAGCTAATTTGAACAAAGTTATACAGGCTAGACTAGCACCCTGGTTTTAAGACACCCACTCTTGTATGCTTTCTATATAACTTCTCCAACCTATATTTGATGGAGGAAAGCGAGGGGGATTTGTGCATAAAAGTCAAAGGGAAATCCCAGAACTCGGAAGGTTCCATACTTTCCAGAGTTTTTTTAAAAAAGTGATCCAATATAATTTAGCGAATAATATAAAAGACAAATTCATTTAAATGGTAAGTTTCTATCTAACTCAGTAGAAGAAATGCTTTAAATTTAGAGAAACCACATTGTTATTTTACAATTCTCAGTTACCGTGTGCCTTTTTTCCTAAAAACAGTTGAAAATCTCCTAGTAAATGAATATTTTAATTCATTAAGCATATAAATAAAGTACAATCAATGAGTAAAATAAAAATAATAGAGAGGAAGGGAAAGAGTTACACATGGCTAATTCAAATTCATAAGGAAATGCAAAATATTTATTTGATGAATGCTTCTGGAAAAGGAAAGCTATTTCCTTAGGAGATACTGAATCACAGAAAATTAATTAGGTATCGTTGTTGTTGTTAAGTGCCGTCGAGTCGGTTCTGACCCATAGCAACTCTGAACAAGGTTTCCAAGGCCATAAATCTTTACAGGAGCAGAAAGCCTCATCTTTCTCCCACGGAGCAACTGGTAGTTTCAAACTGCTGACCTTGTGGTTCGCAACCCAATTTGTAACCACTATTAGATTATAATAAAAACTATTAAATTAATTTAAAAACATAAAAATATTTCATCTGAGTTTTTAACTATAAAAATAAAAATGTATTAACTACACAAAGGAAACTTTTAAAACTTCAATTATATATTATCTGTATTGACACAAAGAGGCAAAGAAAAGAGGAAGAAAGAACAAATTAGATAAAAATAGGTGGCCATTGTGCAAGTAGAACACAAAAATGTAAAGAATAGTTTTTGTTTGTTAGGTTCCAACTCATAGTGACCCTATAATAGAAACTGTAGGCACAAGAAGTGGGGGAAAGAACAATGTAGAGGCTTAAAAGATTCTGGAGAATTTTCTCCTTATTCTACAGGTCTTCCAGAGGATTTGAAATATTTATTGATGAAGACCATACACTGCAGCCTTTAGTATGAACTGCATCTCAATGTAAAGAAAATGAAAATCCCCACAACTAGACTGATAATAACATCATGATAAATGGAAACATGACTGAAGTTGTCAAGACTTTATTTTGCTTGACTCCACAATTCGCATACATGGAAGCAGCAGTCAAGAAATCAAACGATGTATTACATTAAGCAAATCTGCTACCAAAATACCTCTTTAAACTGTTAAAGAGCAAGGATGTCACTTTGAGGATTAAGGGGTGCTAACCCAAGCCTCATATGGATGCGAAAGCTGGACAGTGAATAAGGAAGATCGTAGAAGAATTGATGCCTTTGAGTTGTGGTGTTGGAGGAGAATACTGAAAGTGCCATGGACTGCCAAAAGAACCAATAGATCTGTTTTAGAAGAAGTGCAGCCAGAGTGCTCCTTGGAGGAGGTCAAGATGCCTAAGCTTCGTCTCTCATACTTTGAACATATTGTCAGGAGAGAACAGTCGCTGGTGGAAAAGGATGTCATGCTGGGTAAGGTGGAGGGTCAGAGAAAAAGAGGAAGACCCCTAACAAGATGGATTGGCCAGGTGGCATCATTGATGGACTCAAGTGTGGCAGCGGTAGTGAGGTTGGCCCAGGATTGGACATTATTTCGTTCTGTTGTGCATGGGGTTGCTATGAGTCGGTTCTGACTCGATGGCACCTGACAACAACAACAACCCAAACCATGGTATTTCCAACAGCCTCAAAGGCATTTGAAAGTTGGACACAGAATAAGAAGAATGGAGAATCTATGCATTTGAATTTAGTGTTGGAGAAGAATATTGTAAAGTACCATGGACTTGGAAGGAGTACAGTCAGAATGCTCCTTAGAAGCGAGAATAGTGACTGGTCTCTCATATTTTGGACATGTTGTCAGGAAAGACCAGTCCCTGGTGTACATCATGTTTGGTAAATGATGGTGGAAAAAAAGACCCTCAACAAGATGGACTGACAGAGTGGTAGCAACAATGGTGAGGATGGTGCTGGACTGCACAGTACTTTGTTCTGTTGTGCTATGAGTCTGAACGGCAACTAATAACAATAACTTATGCATGACCTATATTCCCTCTCCCTCTCTCTGACTCCTGGTGTGGTACTATAGGATAAGTGCAGAAAAAAAGAAAAACCTTGAAGGGCATTTCATCTAACACAATCCACTAGTACAGAGGAAATTCAAATTATAAACACTTATAGGAGCTCTAGTAGTGTAGTGGTTACGAATCGGGCTGCAAACCTTAAGGTCAGCAGTTTGAAACTACTAGCTGCTCCACAGGAGAAAGATGAGGCTTTCTGCTCTCGTAAAGATTTACAGACTCGGAAACCCTGTACAGGGTTGCTATGGGTCGGAAACAACTCGATGGTACTTAACAACAACAACAGGCTGTCTTGGAGTTCTAGTATGGTACTGTGGGTTAATGAGCTGGACAGTAAAGTTGGTCTGAACTGCAGGGTCGGTTCCCTATATACATAAGTCACTATGGGTTGGAACGAACTCGACGGCATGTAACAACAACATAATCAGTCTTTAACTTCTACTTGCCAGTCTTAAAAGAAATCTATCATATAATTATATCTGTGTTTTAGTCATAGCAAAGAGCACCAATCATGTGGCTTTCATTCCCAAGTGAGCAGATATTTTAACAATTCAATTTCCAATGCCAATATTTGTTCTTAGGAAACATACATCAAGATATTGAAGGAAAGGAAAGAAAAGTATATAACAAATACCTGTAGAAACATTTTTCAAGCTATTACCAAATGACTCCTAAGTTTCCCCCAAATAATTCTCAAAGGTGCCCATCAAAATCACAGTCCTTTTGTCAGCACTTGTTCTTTTTTCCGATTTGCTTTAGTTAATGAAGATCAGGAAAGGAGTTCCTGGGTGATAAAAGGTTAACACCTCATAGCATAGATGAACCTGGAGTACATGATGCTGAGTGAAATAAGTCAAGCAAAAAAGGGCAAATATTGTTATGAGACTGTTGTTGTTGGTAAGTGCCGTCGAGTCGGTTCCGACCCATAGCGACCCTGTACAGGGTTTCCGAGGGTGTAAATCTTTACGGGAGTAGAAAGCCTCATCTTTCTCCCGCGGAGCGGCTGGTAGTTTCAAACCGCTGACCTTAAGGTTCGCAGCCCGATTCGTAACCACTACGCTACCAGAGCTCCTTTGTTATGAGACTACTACTGTAAAAACTCAAGAAAAAAAATTTCCAGACTAAAAGAAACATTTTTTTTTTTTTTCCCCTAACAGGTCAGGCTGCTAAACTCAAGGTAGTTATAAACTATCCGCCGTTCCATGGGAGAAAGATGAGGCTTTCTGTTCCCGTAAAGATTTATAGCCTCAGAAACCCTAGGGTTGCTATGAGCCAGAACCGACTCCACAGCATACCACCACATATATTCCACAAATATGTAGGCATTTGAGGAAGGGTATTTGTACATGGGCAACCACGGGAAAGAAGCAGGACAGCTTTTGTTGCACAGAGGGGATTGAAATCACTGAGATGAAACACAGCACATGATTTGTTGAATGCAAAACTGATACCTTGTCAGTAAACCTTCACTCAATTCACAATAAAAAAAAGTAGTAAGTTTTACTGGCTAAGTTTTCAACTATTAATTGATAGGTTATTCATATTGGGGGGAAAAGTTAACTAAAGGT